CGTTGTCTCTGAATGAATTTCAAAACAAGTTCATCAGCGATCACTGAACAAGCTCAGTGTATGATCGCTGGAACTGAAATTACAGATACATAAATACATCGAAAGGAAAAAGGGATTATCAACAAATCAATGAGAGAGAGGATCAACACATCTTAATGTGCATACAAGGGTGGAGATCCATTCTTATGTTTATCACCTTAACTCACATTCTCACCGAAATCCAACTTGTATATACATATTATAATAGGCAAAGGATCGTGTGAGAAGGAAAGTTAAGGTGAGAAGTGTAAGAAGATATTTGAATCATTGATGACTTTTAATCTCATGTCCATTAATGAATTGCATTTTAGAAGGGAATTGATCTGATGCATCTCGGTGAACCTTTTCTCATTATTGTTGACATTAAATTAGAATTGATCCAAGGTGGAAATCGCTTCTTACTTTCTCACTATAATATTCATTTTCACCGGAACCCAACCCTTAGTGTGTGTGTGTGTGTGTATATATATATATGTGAAAAGGATAGTCAAGGTGAGAAACATAAGAAACGATTTAGCCCTTGATCACCTTTAATCTTAAACTCACTCATTAATTGCGTTTAATAAGGAGATTGATCTAATGCATCACGGTTCATCTCATATTAATGTGCATCGAATGATGAAGATCATTTCTTACGTTTCTCACATTAATTCTTCATTTAATTAGAACACAATACATATAATATATATATATACATATTATATATATATACATATTATATATATATACATATTATATATATATATATATATATATATATATATATACTTTATACAACGGGTATGTGCATGTGTTTTAATGTGTTCCCTAGCTAGTTAGCATGGTCAAACTTTGACAGAGATTTTTGTTTAATTTAAGTGATTTCTACAAAACAAAAGATGCTTCATAGAAATTAAAAATTAAGAACAAAATATTTTTCCTTTCTCGCCAATATTGTAATATATTATATTATATATATGGATCAGGGGCGGACCTGTATGGGAGCATACGGTGGCACGTGCCACCGTATTATTTCGCCTCCGAAGGGTAAAATTTTTAGGTTTGTTAACGGTGCTACCGTATCGTTTCGGAAGGTGCTACCGTATTTTTTATAAAATTCAAAGAATGGTGCTGCCATATCATCATGAAGGTGGTGAGAAGAAGCAAGAAGACGCCGGAAAACCAGAGGATGCGGCGGCGGTGATGGAGATGAGGAAGAGAACCCCAATTCTACCCCACAACCAAGTTTGAATCATGTTAGTGTCATTTTCTTAGTCAAACGTTGGCATCGTTTGAAAAAAATTTCCTATATTTTTTTTCTTATGGTCAAGTGGTGCTACCGTTTAAAAAAATTTCTGGGTCCGTCCCTGATATGGATTCGATATAATCATGTATGGCTAGAAATTTGTAATGTTTATATTATAAGACATCCAATAACATGTTAGGAATTTTGATAAAATGAAATAGGCAAAATAGCATTTGTTAGATATATTAATTAAACTTCAATATAATTTGTGTTTAAAGTACAATATATTTTTATATATAGTCATTTACCAATGGTGCAATATGTCATAATTTATTGAACATTCTAACGACAAGAATACCACAAACTTGAAATTACTAATAAAAAACATCGACGTTAATTTGACCCGAATTCTTGTTGCAAAACTTGATCAAGTAACGCCTTGGATTCTGTCATCAACTCGGGGCTTAACCGAAACATCAACACACAAAACTCCATTTGATTGAGAGCGTGATCGCCATCATAATCGCCTTCTTTTAACATGCTCATTAATTCGTCGTCTCGTAAATCTTGCAATCCAAGCAATGAAGAGTTGTACTTCAAGCTTTCAAAAGTGATCACGCCTTTGTCTTTATCCATCAACAAATCGAACCCGTTGCAGAGCTCTTTAATTAGGCCTTCACCTCCCAACTTTTCTGCCATTTTTGGTAGCATATCTTCGAACTCCTCCCCACAAAGTTTGCCTCTTGCTTCTGATCCCATCTCTCTGGAAGTTCTTTTTTCGTTTTTTGGAAATTTGCTTATGAGAAGGATCGGGGGTTGGGGTTTGAAAGTCTTGGTGGCTGGAGAGTGGTTTATATATAGGTACAGTTTCGCTTTTCACCCCAACTTTTTCATATTAGACATAATGGTTCTTCAAGTATGAAAAATGACATTTGGAACCCATTTTATTCAAATTTATTTATGATATTCATATAATGAATGTTTTATAATATCGGTCTTTTATCAACTTAAACTTGTATTTATGATATTCATATGATGAATATTTTATAATATCGGTTTTTGATCCACAAGTTACAAATTTATAAGGAAATAAGATATTTACCTTCTTGTTAAATTTGTATCCAAACAATTAAACTTTGATATCAAGAAAAGAGAAATTGTAACTAATATGGGAATCTCATAAGAAATATGGTTCTTCTTACAAAACAGATGCACTCTTGAAATTTACGAACGAAAAGTAAAATTGAACGGAAAGTTGAAATAGTTGGATTTGAGGTTTGTGATACTTTAAGGTGGCAAAGTGAGTGTTTGGAATAGTTGAAGGGTGGAAAGAGAAACTTATGGAGGTATGAAGTTGGAAGAAAGTATATAGAGGCTTCGATTATAGGGGACAAGTGAGGCCAACTATTTCCTAGAAGGACCCTGCCTGCCGACTTGCCACCTGGCTTTCATTTTTTTTTTGGAAAGATTCACACTTCCCGATTGTGTTTCCGTATTTCAAACATCTTGCAGATTTCTTTGATCCTTCTTTCATTTTGATCACGTATATTATATATAGACCATATATGTAGAGGTATGCTTATATATATATACCTATAATCTATACTATATTATAAAATATTTAATAAAAATTCTTAAAAACTATTTTTTATGCACGAAATACTGTTTATTGATGCATATTACTTAAAATTTAAGATTACAATAAAATTATGCATAAGTACAACTTATTAGAGCTCCATATTTGAAGTCATGTAACTAACTGTAGATAAACATAATCAAATACTGGATAAGCATCTTATTTTAAATATAAAAAATCTAAAATATAGTTAAAATAATCATTGAGTTCTAACAGGATATTTAGTTATTATCTTCATAAAAAAATATTATTAAATCTAAATTAAATTTCTTTGTTACTAAACCAAAATTAAATTATAATTAAAAAAATTGAATTAAGAAAATTACACAAAAACACAATAGCTTTTAAAAAGATTAATTTGATACTGATATCGATATATTTTTTTCAAAATTTTATGACACTTTCAAATTTATATTTTATTCAAAAATAAAAACATTATCGTTTTCTCAAAACCAAATAAAACATTATTATATCAACATAAAAAATGAATAAAACGAAACACTAAAATCAAGATATGTCTCGATACATTGCACGAGTACGTTTCTAGTATATTATAAAGCATTTGGTAAAAATTCTTAAAAACCATTTTTTATGTATGAATTATATTGATGCATATTATTTAAAATTCAAGATTACAAGTAAATTATGCATTAGTACAACTTATTAAAGCTTCATTTTAAATTCGTGTAACTAACTGCGGATAAACATAACCAAATAGAGGATAAACATCTCATTTTAAAATCTAAAATATAATTAGGATAATTATCAAGTTCTAACAAAATAATTATTTATTATCTTTATAAGAAAAAAAATTATACATAAGTACAACTTATTAAATTTTCATGTTTGAATTCGTGTAATTAACTGCAGATAAATATAATCAAACAGAGGATAAACATCTCATTTTAAAATCTAAAAAATCTGAAAAAGCTAAAATATAATTAGAATAATTATCAAGTTTTAACAAAATAATTAATTATTATTTTTATAAGAAAATTATATTATTAAACCAAATATAAATCACTTCGTTATTGAACCTAATTAAGTTATAATAAAAAAAAGTACACAAAAAATGAGAAATTTTAAACAGTTAATTTGATACTAATATCGATATATTTTTGTCAAATTTTATAATATCTTCAAATTTATATTTTATTGAAAAATAAAAACATCATCATTTTTTTCAAAATCACATAAAATTATATTATAACATCGATTGAGATAAAAAATAAATGAAATACTAAAATCAAGATATATCTCGTTGCGTTGCGCGAATAAAAATCTAAAATATAATTACGATAATCATTGAGTTATAACAAAATATTTAGTTATTATCTCTATAAAAAATAATGTTATCAAACTTAAATTAAATTAATTCGTTACTAAATCTAAATTAAATTATAATAAAAAATTTAAATTAAATAAATTACACCAAAAACAAGAATTTAAAAATAATAAATTTGATATTGATGTCAATGATATATTTTTTTTCAAAATTTTATGTTATTTTCAAATATATATTTTATTAAAATATAAAAATATTATCGCGTTCTCAAAACCACATAAAACCGTATTATATCGATATAAAAAATGATCATAACATACGATAAGCGCTAAATGAGGGCGACGACTCTTACCACGGTAAGCGCTTACCGTGTAAATTATAACATACGGTATCGTTTTGTTGGACTAAGAATAACAATTGATGTGTTTGGAAATCCGTTAATCCTGCAATTCTCTTTTCAAATATTCGGTCAATCAACCGTAATAAAATTTGAAGTTTATAATGATCATAAACATCATACCTTCGATTTACAAAAAATATTCACATCCCGCCGCATTGCGCGGGTATCCAACTAGTAAGTAATAATTACACGCAGTTTATTTGTAATCTTGAATTTTAAGTAATATACATTAATAAACAACTAGAAGCGTACTCGCGCAATGCAGCGAGATACATCGTGATTTTAATATTTCATTTTATTCTTTATCTCAGTCGATGTAATAATATGGCTCTATGTTATTTTGAGAAAGCGATGATGTTTTTATTTTTGAAAAAAATATATGTTTAAAAATATCATAAAAATTTGACAAAAATATATCGATATTAGTATCAAATTAACTATTTGAAATTCCTCATTTTTTTGTGTAATTTTTTAATTCAATTTTTTATAATTTAATTTATATGCAATAACGAAGTAATTTATATTTGGTTTAATAATATAAT